CCACGACATGCGAGGGGAAGGCGGATCATAAGTTTGTCTTTTGAAAATACCGAACTAAACTGTTCTACTGCAAAAAGAATTGAAATCTCGACTTTACATAGCAAATTTTTGGAGATATTGAAGTTCGTGTTTTTGTTCGAAGTTGCGCACATGCAGGAGCCCATAATGGGCTCCTGGCAGATGTCGATTTGAGTAAAATTTAGTGGTCTTATAAGCCAACTTAAAATCCTCCAAAAATCGCGTATTCAAGTCCGCGAATATTCAACGTATAGATTTATATTTGTTCTCTATTTAAGGCTAAATAAGGTTTTATGTTGCACCTATGAAGCCTTCCAAATTATTTTGCTTAAAAGTCACAATAGGCATTGTTTTTTCTTAGCGGTAGACAATAAGAAATTCCAGCGGGCAATTGCTTCAGCTACCGCGTGTGGTACAAATGAATATCCACCCCACGATTGGTTGAAGACGGGATAAGCACGGGACCACGCACATGGCTCGAGGATTCTCTCATCTGTATTACGTGTTCGCTCGAAAATAACGCATTCTCTGTTCTGCATTACGTCATAAATGTTGCCTTACATTATTATATGTTACATCCATTCGAGATGTTTTCTGTCCCTGGAACAACCACGGACGGCTCTATTAGGCTGCCACCTCGCAGCCTCGCGTCTTCGCGAGGCTGCTCGTTGGCAATAAAACAACTTAAGAAAATCCTTGTGAATCTCAACCTTACAAATATCATACAGAGATTTTGTAACGTCTCTAATCTTTTCAGTTTTCTCCTTATTTAACTTCAGCGAATAAAATTTGTACTTTTCTAAATAAAAAACTCTCGAGAAATAAAAATATCACAAAATCTTCAAAGAATGTATCAAATGATTGTGAAGACACTTTGTTATTCCATATGAAAAGGTAGGGAGATCTTAACTCCAGCAATAAGTAGTTTTTACATTTAGGATTTACAGACGTTAATATTAATTATCTCTGTTACCTCTGTAAATGGTCCACAGTTTTCATTGTTTTTATAACAGGCCCTTAGTGGACGAACGCAAGCACAAGCTTAGCTAGCCTGCATTATAATGAAGGAGGGTGTGCAATTGAGTAACTAATCGGTTATAGTTCTTAGAGAGAAAAAGAGGAAAACTTCGTAATTACCTGCCCCATCTAAAATTTCGTCTGACGCCACTGTAGTCACAGCTATCAGACAGCGGGTCGGTATTCGAGAGCCAAGAGCAGGAGAAATATCTCAGCTTCAGTACGGTAATAAGTGATGCAAATGTGTCCAAACAAGTATGAGCAAGTATTCCAACAATTGAATCAGTATCATGTGTTTGTAGTCAGTACGGACAAAAATACAGTCAAAAAACCGTAACGGTCGAGAGTTTAGGAAACGTAATGTCATAAATTGTCGAAAATATACAAAACTGTCTGGCCAAGTATGATCGCACAGGTTATTATGTTTGTTTTACAGTTAAATTAAGATAAACATTTTAACCAAGAAAATTGACTTTGATTTTTGCAAATTTTTCTCACCAGAAAATGATTTAAGGAACTGTTATTACAAATAAAAGCCGATAACTAAAAAATCTCAGTATAATGCGCCAAATTTTCGATACAGTTCCCTTGAACTCGCTTGATGAAACTTTAAAAAAATAAAACTATTTTGACACAATAAATACATTAATTGGACCAATGACGACAGCTGCTGTTGTTCTCTGTGCACCAATATGGGAGATAGTTTGCGCTTTATGTCATTTTTCTAAATATATGTAAACACCCTATATAGGCCTTACAATATAACATTCACACATGGCGTGAAGCAGCTAAGGGCTGTTATAGCAAACTTGTTATAACTTGAAACAATTCTACGCTTATAACGTAAACATTTGGACAATTTTAGACAAAATGAAATGTTGGCGTAAAGTGCGTTTACCATCTTTAACTTAAGTTCTTGGTAATATTCACCTTCCGTCGTCAATTTATTGAAATGCCCTGCATTTGTTCATAGACAGAGATTACACCTCCCTAGTTGAGTCAATTTTCTTGGATTGATTTCCCCCACTTCAATCGAGCCCAGTCACTTTACATAAATTTTGCAATGCCTAACTTGTGTCAATTTACAAAGACTTTTTGTGTCCCTATATATGTCATTTTACAGAGATTTTACAAAGCACTACTTGCGTCAATTTACCGAATGCTATGATGCCCGGCTTGTGTCAATTGGCAGATATTTTATAATAAAAAAAATAACTTGAGAAAGTCCTTGTAAATGTCAACCTTACAAACATCAGAGAGGGATTTTGTAACGTCTCTAATTTTTTCAGTTTCCTTATTTAATTTCATCAAAGAAAATTTGCACTCCGCCTCTAAACAAAAACGTTTAAGGAAATGAAAACAGCACAAATGCTTCCAAGGGTTTCTGGAAGGATTGTTAAGACACTTTGTTATTCCATATAAAAAGGTAGGGAGATCTTGGCTCTCCTAAGAAGTCGGCACTTTTGTGATTTACAAACGTGTTATTATCTTCCGCAGGCTTAAAGGGACAAAATCAGCTGATGCACATGCGCATTAGATACCATTTCTTACCTAATTTTTATGTTACAAGACGCGCCTGAAACAAAAGCGTATCCGGAATACTTTAAACAAACCTTGTAGAGATGAACTGGTTACAAGCCGAAATCTTGATTATAGGCCCTAAGCCATATCAGAGCACTCGTTTTTTATATACCATTGACAATTCACCGATAGATCCTTCCAGGGAAAGCCAAACATGGATGAATAATTTCAAATTCATCATCAATAGAGGTGAAAAATTGCACGAAGTCTGAATCATTGTCGAAGATTCACGGTTGAGAAAACTTGATTTTCCAAATATATGGAACCTTTTCCATCGATTATCCAAATATATATATAACGATTATTTGCTCGCCAAGTTACTGATTCCTTCTCTTGATATTTTGGCAAACGAAGGTGGTTTCTCCCGCCCGGCGTCGACGCGTTTCTCACCTCTTCTGCTCAACTTCCTTTAAATACTTTTTTTTAACCAAACAACACTAGGCAGGATTGAAGCGGATTTGTAGCTGTATCGGACGCGTAGGTTGATTTCGGGTTGAGGTAAAAGCTTTTCAAATTGGCAAAAGTAGTGTCCAGGTCAGAGCAGTCCCATAGCTGACTGTGTCCCTTTATCTAGCCGGAAATATAATGGAGCGTCTGGAATTTGGTATACTATTCAATTTCAGGTTTTAGAGAGAAAAAGAAGAAAACTTCGTAATAATCTGCCCCAGCTAAAATTTCCTCTGAGGCCACCGTCGCCATAGCTATCAGATTTAATTGATTTTACTAAGAGCAGCGGGTCAGTAACTATAGACTGCTCTTCGTCAACCTTCACAGCCTAAAAAGACACCCTGTTCAAAACTCTAAAGGGTGAAATGGTCACCACCCTCAATGAGCAGCACACACCCATGTAGGCCAAATAAGCCAAGGGTGGTATCGTAGAAAGAACTGCTGAGAGGATTGGGCTCAAGCCCAACAATAACTAATAATCAATTTGACCGTGTTTATTTTAGTTGTAAATCAGATTCATAACTTACACAAACAATAAATTGAAGTTATACATTTTTCAAGCTTCTTCTGATTCCCTTTATAAACTTTGCAAAACATTCAGTTTTCTTTTTTCTGTTTCTTGTTCTTCAGTCCTTCGAAGGATTTTCTTAACGCATACCCCTCTCTGATGTACTCACTCTTATTAGCAACTCAATTAGCCTGGTCCCCACACTAAACCATTATAATCATTTCAAGTATAATTCAGAACCATTGGGTAATTTTTGTACCAACAATTTCAAGGAAACACTTGAAACAGAAGTAACCATCTAATACAAAACTACTCAATACGGTATTGCTATTGGAAATTTATTATCATTCCAGTGATATTCCAGTGGAGGTTTTGAAGGTTCAGTAAACCGCTCCCAGCCTTCTGATATTAAAAACAGCTTATACTGACAGACCCAGCATATGTGAGGCAAAGTGATTGGAACATTTACCCTGTCTTTTACTAAATTGGCCTTGTGTTCTGTATCTACGCCCATAAATATTTGTTGTGGCTCCCGGTGTACATACAAACTTACGAACAGCGAAGTAGAAAATTGTTTTAATGAACATTCACATCGTATGACTGTTGCAAGATTCATACTAATATATTTTGCTCGAAGCATATGTCTAGGATAGGGAAGATAGTCTTGTATAATACCACTGTAAGTGGAAATTTAAAGAGATGGAGCAGGCTGGTCGCTCGAAAATTCACGAAGCTTAAAAATAACTGAACTTTTCGAGGTTCCGATAAGTGATGTCACCCATGAACTGTTCATACATCACGCCTCCTGATGTCCAAAAGGTCCATTAAAAAAGTTCAAAGAAACCTTTTCTTCATGTTTGGACGCCTGAAAACTTAAAGCAGAGCAAAAACTCGTCGTCCTTCCATGTCTGCATTCTCCGCCATAATTGTTTTGAAGGAGAATTTGTACTCAGTCAAACTCGGCCAAATTTCTTAACTGGGACGGCGATTACGTAAACTCGGTTAGAGACCTCGCTGCCAGCCCCGCCCCGGGCATAGTTGACGCCTTGTGTTGGTTTGGGCATCTCACTATTGATCTGAGTGCATGGCTCCCTTGAAAATTCTGTGCTGTGTTGTTTTAAGTTGTTAGAACAAGCGCTTGTAATAGAAGAACAGCTGAGACCAGCCGATACCAATCAATCTGCTGGAACGGACCGGGTGTTTTAGCACATTTTCGAGAACTGAGATACAATGTGCAGGGATTCTAGCCAGCTGAGTCTTCACAAAAAGCTCTTTTCTTAGAAGTGAGCTATTGCTCTCCCCTCTCTACAACTTTGAGCCAATCCTTACAATGTTTGACAAACTCGAGTGGCCCTTTTTGATACTATTTCAGCCCCTAGTTGATCTGCGAGGTTGAAGTAAGTCATATTTTTTGTCTTTGTTCGGTAGATCTGCGGAACTTGAGTGCTTAGCGGAAAGTCACCAGCATTTGTCCAAGGAGTCGTTAGCAGCAAACAAACCCGCCAATGCTGTACTTCATAAGGTAATCTTTCACACAGAACGTTTAGTAGTTTATGGCTTCAACAGCCTGTGAATAGGCTTTCCATAAAGGGAGGGTGGGGAGAAACCGTGATAAAGCCAGCCGATCGTGACACGGGGCGAGGGACCATTAGAGATAATTCTTGCTGCACACTTCAAAGCGTTTGTAGGCTGATATAGTGTCCATCGTGAGCTATTCTTGCATGTTGCTTATTCATCACAATAAAAGTAGCATCTTTCGGACTATAAGCTTGTGAATATTGTCGCCTTTCATCGCTCCCCACTTTTTGGATGTTTTGTGAGAGACTGTGAAAGTGAATTTTATCTACTTGGGAATATACATTTTTATCACTTCTTTCCATAATCACTTCACTCGTTGTAATTACAACGATTATGCCGGTGATCAACGTAAGACCTGGAAGACCATCAATGAATTGACTTCCCGCAAATCTAATAAAACAATAATAAATGAAATACAATATCAGGGACTAAAATCGAGCAATCAAGCAGAAGTTGCTGAATTGTTGAACACTTTCTTCATTGAGATTGGACCAAGGCTTAGTCGAAATGTTTCGAATGTTGATACCACCTACAAAGAGTTTCTTTGTGGAACTTCTAAGGAGTTTGTCTTCAAGGAAATAACATCTGCTCATATTTATTCCCTCCTTTCAAAACTTTGTAAATCAAAGGCCACTGGATTAGATAGTATATCAGCTAAATTATTAAGGGAGTGCCCTGATCTAATTGCCGAGTCTCTTACTGTAATATTTAATCAATCACTGTTGACAGGAATTTTTCCCGATGAGTGGAAGTCAGCTAGGGTTACTCCATTGTATAAAAATTCTGGTAAACGAAATGATCCCACCAATAATCGACCAATATCGGTGATCCCAGTCGTGGCCAAAGTATTTGAACGGGTAGTCTACGGCCAGTTGTATCACTATCTTACTGAGAATCGTATTCTATCCCGTTACCAATCTGGTTTTCGTTCTTTACATTCTACTGTAACTGCATTACTCGAAGCTACCGATAGCTGGGCAGTGAACGTTGATCGTGGCCTTGTCAATGCCGTTATCTTCGTAGAATTAAAAAAGGCTTTCGACACAGTTGATCATCATATCTTATTAACGAAATTACAATATTATGGATTACGCGGTTCCTGTCACGAATGGTTTACTTCGTATTTAAACAATCATACCCAAACTTGCCAAATTAATTGCTCAATGTCAAACCCAAAATTAGTTACATGTGGTGTTCCCCAGGGAACAATTCTTGCACCTTTATTGTTTTTACTTTATATTAATGACCTACCTAATTGCTTGCATTTTTCACAACCTAGAATGTATGCCGATGACACCAGCCTAACTTATGCCAGCGCAGATTTAAAACTCATAAATGACCTGCGTTAAGGACGATTTAAACAAGGTGTATATATGGCTATGGGCTAACAAACTGACCCTTAACTTGACTAAAACTGAGTTTATGTTAGTTATTGGGTCGAGGCAGAAGCTATCAAAGCTTTCTGAACCTCCTTCTTTTATGATAAACGACCATCCCGTGATGCAAATCTCTTGGAGTGCATATTGACCAAAACTTCAGCTGGGAATGCCACATACAGAGTATTTGTAAAAAGATTGCTTCTGCTTTGGGTGCAATTAAACGAATACGACATCTTATTCCTTTTAATGTATTAATTAATGTTTACGACAGTTTAATTCAACCGCATTTTGATTACTGTAATGTCGTATGGAGCAACTGCGGCATTGGTCTTTCCGATAAGCTGCAGAGGCTCCAAAATCGTGCAGCCCGTATTCTAATGTCCGCTAATTCTGATTGTAATGTGGACGATTTGTTCCTGGCACTGGGTTGGCGTAAGCTTAAACACCAAAGACAAGTATTGACGGCTATTATGATGTATAAAACCGTACATGGGATGACTCCCGACTATCTAACATCTAAATTTGCATCTCGTGACGAAATAACTTCTTATCGATTGAGGAATACTGAAAATAAATTAGTCCTTCCACTGCCCCGTACCAATTATTTAAAGAAAAGTTTTTCCTATAGCGGAGCTAAGCTGTGGAACAGCCTATCCCATGATTTAAGATCTGCAAATTATTAACCTGATTTTAAACGCAAACTGTGTCGCAACAGTCTTGAATGAGATCATACATTAATACAGTTTTACATGGCATCCTTGAAAAGCAGCTTTTATTTGTAAATAGCTAGGTAGTTAAAATTTTATGAATATATTTTCAATCAGAGTTAGTTTAGTTAGGTATAATAGATCTTACATTTTTTGTACATGCTGAAGGAATTTTAACCGTGTTTAAATAAAGTTATCTATCTATCTCTATCTATCTATCTACAACTGTACATAACATAGTGACCCTGTTATATGACTGATAAGTTTATGGTTCGTTTAAGACAAAAAAAATCATTATATCTCCAGGCCCCAGTTGTTCAAAAGCTGTATAGCGACCAATAGCGCTATCCACTGATTGCGATTAATCTGGTGGATACGTATTAGGGAAACAAATTGTAATATCCCCTGGATAGTGATTTATCCAGTGGATAGGACTTTTCATCTTTTTACCTTCTAGGATGTAACAGAAGGACATTTATCGTTTTTGTTTTTGTTTCAGTACTTAATCAGCTGGAGGAGTTGCTATATGACATGAGGTCGGACGTCAATCGTCTTCCCTTTACACTAGTCCGAATGCCTCCCGTTACTGCTCGGCTTAACATGTCAGAGAGAGGAATCCATAGCCGTCTAACGAAACGTGGTGAGGGACCACCACCCAATGTTACCATACCTAGAAACTCCATTCAGCCCCCACCCGTTCCAGGAATGGGTTCAACTGCTATCCAGCCAAAGGTCCAAGCCTTGGTGTTGGGCGGTGGCACTATCGTGCCCCCTGTGCAAATGAGAGCAGGAACCCTGCACTACAATACAAGCTCTGAATACTGCGCTCCACCCGTGACAGGCAGCAATGCAACCATCACAGTCCAGCCGCCTACACCAACTACTCTATTCCGCTACTACATCAAGTCAGGCCAGGCCGGGGCTCGTGCAGAATATACCCAAACCTCTCCGATGATCAGTCATCACGTAAACTCACCCACCCCCACACATTACGTCACTACTCTTCTTAAAATTTTTTTTCTTTTTTCCATCCCATTGTCCTCTTCACACCGGATGCCGCAATAGTCTCCCGCAACCGTTCGCACACATTTTGGCATTTATTGGAGAACAGTTATTTCAAGTAACCACAATTTGCCGTCTGTCCTCTTTGAATTTCTTTCCTCCCCTTCAGTTTTATAACACGGACAACCCTTAAAGCCCCAATATCCACATTCAAATTCTCTGTACCGATGTCAATACATTTTCTTAAAAAAATTGGTTGTGATAATTTGATACAAGATACAACGCATTTTCCAACTAGTGGTCACGGAATTAATTCCCATGATCATTTCTTTCCATTCTGTTTTGATGTTGTTAGGATAAAATTGATGTTGATCACTTTTGGGAACTAAAGGTTGGAGTCTTATAGATTTTGAGAGATGTTTAGGAACACAAGAAGTTGAGTTGAATGCGGTTTATTTGCTTCCTTACAGCTCGTAGAACTCTACTAATTGAGTCTTCAGATGAGATCCTTAAGTGAATCAAGTTTAGCTTACATTAAAGCGGTTGTATTTTTTCTGAACAATTAAGTTAATTGGTTTCTAGCAAGACTACATAGTATCCATTTACAGAAAGTAGGTGTTAAGGCAAGGCCGATTTACATGGCACGATTTTTGCTTAAGACTATCGTGCGCGACTAGCATAGTCATGACTTCACGACAGATCGTGTCGTATTAATGCAAACGATATTCGTACGACACATGTGGATGTCGTAAGGGAAAATTGTGCGCGTGTGGATGGTCGAAAGTGATGACGTATGCTAGTCGCGCACGTTAGCCGCAAGCAAAAATCGTACCGTCTAAATCTGCCTTTACGAGGTGCTAGACCTGATAGAACGAAAGAAACCAAAATTTAGTTGAATTCAGCTGCGCGTGGGAAAAATTTACAAAACTGAAAATATCTCTACAACCAAATTCCTATACAAGAAACTAAAACAGTGGTTTGAAAGAAACCTATCTTTCTTAAGATTCTGTCGAAAGAAATTATAGTTTAAAATTAGGAAAGTAAGTGAAATTTAGCTGAAAATGGCCCAACTGAGAACAAAGACGTCAAAAGGTGTTGGGTCGCGCGGCAATAAACTAAATTTAATGAGGTATGCAAGGCTGATTATTATTCAAGCAAAAGTGAGATCTAATTTCGGTTTTAAGCAAACGAACTTTGTTTAGGAAATTGGTTATTTTCCTTTCCACAGCTGAAAACACCTACTAAGCAAAGTAATTATTTCTATCTAAGGAACTTGTTTTTGTTTCCGATTTAAGTAAGCTTGAATACACGCTTTAAGACGTGTTTCTTCAAGTTAATTAAATAAATAAATAATAAATAAATAATGTTTTAAAGGTAGCACATCCACAAAGTGGTTCTTCATCTACCAGATTCCTGAAACTTAACTATCTAGGTCAGCTTACAAGCCAAATTTGAGCGAATACCAAACCAAACCGTCCAACTACTGTTTTTAAAATAACTTGAAACCCAAACACCAAAATAGAATAAAAGATCGGTGCAAAACTCTTTGTCTAGGAATTCCGATCTTTTGGCTGCAATGCGCCCAGCGGGAAGATAGCGGGAAGTGGACAAAAGCATGCCATCTGTTTGCTCACAATTAGAGGCACGTATGTGATCTTGACAAAGAGTAATGGTATCATGTAAATACATTTCTTAACCGACCTGAAAAGTACGAGTAAGGAGGTTTATATATATGGATTATTTAGGATATTCCAAAACCAAGAATATATATATGGTTAAAGTATGATATGTGAGAGGAGAACCGACAAGAAAGTTTAATCGTTTATGTTCGTTTGTTTTGCGGTAATTCATAGCTAATTGCGCAATAAAAGGTACGATGTTCTTAACCGCAAAATCTGGTTTCTAGGAATAACTTTCTTTCTCTCTTGTCAGTACTTTCCTCAATAATAAATACAGCGAGCGAAATATTATTTTAAGCAAGCAAAGCTGAAATAAAAGATAAATACTGAATAAATGTAAGTTGAGCTACGATGAATAGGCGACAGCAAAAGGCCTCCGGAGGTGTGAGCTTAATCGTTGTTTGAACTTCACGGTGTTACGTAAATTGCTCATATTCAATCTATTGTTTTAAAATTAATAAGGTCGGCTTGCTTTGACTATTGCCTTGAAGTAGCTAATGGTTCATGAGTATATATGTTTGTATTTTTTTGTGGTTTTCATTTTTAAGTTTTTTTAGTTATTTTATTTTGTTTTCTAAACCCCTCAAATTTCAACTTGAATAAATATGGCCAGTAAATATGCAGCTTAGTGATAATAAAGAAAAAACTACTTTAATTTTATGACGTAAGCTGAACCGGCTCTTCTGTCGCTTCGAAGTTGTCCTCAGTGCGACTATAGCTCTACCCACCAAGACCAACAACCTTTGTTATGTTTGTTTTCTCAAGGAACCTTTGTCCTAAGAGCATGGTAAAATAGTAAACACATTTTATGATGAATGAAGATTCAAATGAAAAATGAAATTCTTGGAAAATGTGCTGTGTCTACAGACCGAAACAGCACTGATAAAGAGCTGATGGAATTGATGATAGCCTGAAAGCCATCTAAAACATGACAAAAATACTAGCAAAGCGGCTTTGAATCTACATTAGGACCCCGGTTTAACTCGAAATTGGATAACTCGAACTAAGTCCCATTTCTTTTGGAATTAATCCTACTTTTCAGTCAGTCTAACTAGAATTCCCCTCTAACTCGAACTAAATTTCGTTTCCCTTGATCCGAATTTACTTCGATACCTCAAATTCTGGTTCATGGAACTCACCATGAATGTCATCCTATTGGCTTTTCCTTGTCTTGTAAACTGAGGAACAACCCCTAAAACTAACACTACAGCGATTTGTTTTTTACTGCTTCTTACGATGGGCAACGAACACATCATGTATTTAACAGCCATTTTCCGGTATTATCGTGTAAATGCATAATCGTTTCTGATGAGATAAGTTAAATGTGCCCTCTGCTATATACTAAAGTGCTGAAATATCAATAAACTATCACTATTACCATGCGAAACTGAAGATACAATCGACCCCGATAACTCGAACCCGCGCTAACTCGAACTGTTTTTAACCTCGGGAGATCAGGCCCAATTTTAGCAGTTCTCATACATTCCCTCCTCCGTAGTCCCGCTAAAATTGGTTTCGCCCTACCGCCGGAATGTAATTTAACAAAGAGAAACGAAAATAGAACCTGATCTTGGGTTAACTGTTTTTAGTTCCTCTTCTCAGAGTTCGAATTACCGGGGTTCTACTGAATAGGCGAATCCTTGTTTACATTTTTTACCTCATTAGCATAGGCTCATTATTATATGATGAAGATAATAGCAAGAAATTTCTGAATATTGAAAGACCATAACAGTTTCAGTTATCTCCGAAAAATTTGACCCGATATACCAGATAATTTCAAAGAAATTCTCTTAAACAAAAATTTTTTTCAAAGAATGTATGAGCGTATCAAGTAATTTTGCCGCTATTTTCTTTGTTACTGATTGCAAAGAGTTGAAACTTGCACAATCTCTATAAAGTTACCAATTCTTTTAATTTTTGAACCTAATTGGTATATACGGCTATATCTTCTTTCATCTTCTATGTGTTAACTTGATGCTAATGAGCTAAAATGTAAACATGACGACACGATGAATCCGCCTTTTCAGTCCTCTCACATGAAAACTTTTCACCAAACTATGCGTTTAGTCTTTGACATAAATAGTGCGAAAAGTGGCTTAATCAAATGAGGCCTTTAAAAAGACGTATCGTATGCCATTTTTCGAACTTTATGAACTGAAATTTTGGTAAAGACGGATTCTTTCCCGCTTACTCGAGTCTTGGTTTGTTTTTTGCTCTTGTTCCCAGGTATTTCCTCATGATCAGAATTCCTTTCATCAGTCAGATCGGGTTGATCTTTTTCCAAGCTAAAGTTAATAGCACCAGTATCTTGGAAAGAGGATGAAATTGACGGCATGTTCATTTTTCCTGTTTGCAGTTGGTTCTTAAAAACATTCCTTCCAGCAAATCCACGTACTTCTCCTTGCAGGTCATTCAGAGGCAGCAGCAAGGCCAGACAGCAAGAGAAAGACCATTTGGGACTCTTGAGCCATTCTTTTATAAAGCGATAGATGTATACAATATACTGCACTACAAAGAAACAATAGTCATAGTTACATATATTCACTATAGGACTTTCTGAAGTCACCTCTCTTCTTAAAACATAAGCGTTGACTTGGCGTTTTATAGGAGTCCTCTATTGCACTGTCTTTACTCTTCTCTATGAATATTTTTGCTTTAAGTTCAAGTCTTGTAGATCACTTACTGAGTGAATGATAACGGTACTTGCATACATAGAGCGGTTTTCACTTGACTGTCGAAAGGGATTGGTTTTGGTTTTGGTTTTGGTTTTACTACGCCCTTTGGTTGGCTAGTGTATTTACTTTGGCTTTGGTTTTACGACAGTCAAGTGAAAACCGCTCTATGGACTTACTAACTTTGATAATTATAGTTATTTATGAAGGTCACTCACTGTGGGTTACGACGAACGCGATTAATTGTGAACCTAGCAATGTTTGCAATCTTTTGCAAGGACGCGAAAAATCCTAAATTTTGCAGCTGCTTGCAAACCTGGACATACCTTATTATAGGAAATTAACGCTCCATGAAATTAACGCGAATCGTTAAAACTCGCGTTAATTTAAGTCGTGTTAATTTTGTTGAGCGTTAATTTCCGCGACGTTAATTAAGTGCAGCGTTAATTTCCGCGCTCTTAATTTCCAGTATTTTAACCCCAATTTTGGAACCTGTCCAGACATTCTTGACACCTGAAAAACATTAACTACAAGCTTTCTTTGTTTCCATTTACCCTTTATTTTTCATCTTTCACAAAAGCTAAGGCGAAGGTGTTCATCTTCATCGTTGTCGCTGTCAGAAGTGGTCAGCTCAGTTTTGTTCAGTTTTGAATGTTTTTGCATCCAGTGTTGACATAAATTTGTTCCAGTTGTCACCACCAGCTGTGTCGTAATCGCGTTAATTTCCTTTATTATGAAATTCTACCTCCTCTTTCGCGTTAATTTTCTTTATTGGAAAGTCGTTTTCCATTAAATTCGCGTTAATTTAAGTCGCGTTAATTTCCAATACCTCAATTTCATGGAGCGTTTATTTCCTATAATAAGGTAAGAACTATTGCTACCTCAATTAAGGCATTACAGTAATACAATTACAGTTAGAATGGCAATTGAAGCTTAACCGATTTACACCGTGAACTAAATTTTGGCCGAAAACCAACAGCAAGTACTGAGCTGGCATCGCCCTACTTGTGATTGGGGAGCTTAAGCAACAACGACTAGTCGACGACGACGGCAGTGACGACGTTGCTAAGAAAAATAATTTATGTCCTTTCAAACTTAATCGCGTCTGTTCGGACCCCCTCAATTTGTCAAATGTAGGCAAGGTTGTTGACGTTTTTTTTCGTCGTGGTGGTTGCTTAGGGCCTGTTTACACGGAGGTGGGGGACCCCAGGTAGGTGAGGTAGCCCGCCTGTCCATAAAATCTCTCATTTTATTTTGAACACGTTTACATGATAGGTGGGGTGACCCGCCACATGTTACCTCACCTATCATGGCTCTCCCACCTCCATGTCAAAAGGCCCTTAGTTTTCCTATTCACGTTCCATTCGAACTGTAAATATCCCTGAGGATTAATTAATGATAGGCAGTGAGTATATAAAATAGGAAATACTGGTACATTTTGTCCCGTTCACTTCACTTTGTTATACACGAACGGTGATTGGTGACTCACCTGCCCACCCCAACAAGTAAGTCGGGTTCCAGAGTACCTATTCAGCCTGTCTTGGGCTTGTCCCGGGTAAGATTTATTCCCCATACCTAATTATAATGTTATTAATAACAATACCCGGGGATGAATATGATTCCATTGAAGGGTAAATTAATAACCGAAGTAGTTCACACAACTTACCTACGAGAAGACCGACTACTAGAGAATTTGCTCCAAACACCAGAACCTTGAACATGATGTTATCCACATATGGATCGATTGAGGCTGGAATGTTCTCGCTGTTAATTTTACTTACAGCTCCTATTCCCAAGTTTACAAAGGTCACAGCCAGAGATATCAGCATTAGTCTGTTCTCGAAAGGATCCACTATAGGGCTGACATAGGCAAAAAATATTCCGTAGAGTCCTGACATGACGCAAGCCAGTCCGACATATGCCCTGCTTTCACCACCAACCAGGATCAGACCTGACGTGAGGACCACCTTCCGTACTGTGTCTACCAGTTCCCAGTACCACGAGCGCGGATGGTAGTTTTCGAAAAGAAATCGCAGGCCTGTGGTCACTTCACTGCTTTTCACTTCGATATCAGGATTTTGTTGCTCGTCTTCCATTTCATTCTGACTTGTAACGGTCAATCGCGCTTTCCAGAGAGCTATAAGTGATGCTGTGGGAAGAAGTAGTATGTAAGCGACTGCAATGTAGGCAATGATGACTGATCGATTGTAGTCTGTACTCTCACAGTCGATACTGTAGTCAGTCTTAAGAAACTTTTGACAGTGGGTTTTCTTTTCGTCTGAACAAAGCAGACGGCAAGTTGGGGGAAGCACGCTAGCTGTATTGGAGCAGGTACTGAGATATGTCACGTACAGGAAGAAAAACAGGTTTCTCAAGATTAGCTCTTTCGTTTGAGAAGATCTCCTCAACTTTTCTTCTTTGGAGGAAGCACTCCGTTCGAGTAGAAGCTTTCGTAAACAATAAATGAGAATCGCAACGATGATGGCTGTGGCATTCGTTGCAAGGATTGCAAACAGGCTCTTAAAAGCATTGAACTTTAGTTCAGGAAAGATGCAGTGAAGAGGGGCAATCTGAAATACATTAAGCTGTACCATCTCCGAATATTTTCCAATGACAGAAAGAGAATCTGGCCATTTAATATACGAAAATGTCTCTAACAGTCCATCAGTGACTTGGTAAAAGCCAATGACAATTTTCAGCCTTCCAAGTATCATATCCACTGTGGATCTTCCTTTTTTCTCCTTCTTTTGCTTCCTTTTACTTGACCACAATATGACAAAAATAATGACCAGAATAACTGTCACCACGATCGACAGTTGTCCGATCATCCATTTCTTCGTTGGACACTTTTTGCAAGTTTGAAACTGTTTATAGTAGCGGTCACTACAAATCTCACACAGCGGTCCTTGATAGCCGTCAGCACAAGAAGAATTGAAACCGCCATAGCAAGCCTCTTGTTGTGGGCATTTGTGCGGCGTAGGAACAGTGTATGGGAACTCGATGAGGGTAGCATTAGTTGAAGAAGAGTTCCTTGAATCCAAGAGATTACGTGCAAATGATTCATAAAATTGTTTGTGGGTCAAATTCTCCCATTTCCACCAGTAGCCCTTCTTCAGCTCAACATGGTCATCCACACATTGTAGTCCTTCTTCCTTGCACTGTTTGCAGCCTTCAAAAAGATGGGTACGATGAAATCCTTTCAAACAACTGCAAGCTCTAAACCCAGCAAACGTGGACGTATCTGTGCCTACAAAAAGCAAAATTCGGTTGGTGGAATTAATTGTATTTTTCTCAGGAAAATAGTTTGGCATTTAAAACATAAATAAACTTGAAAGCTTGCAGATTTAGGTAGTTGTAGGCTTCATTGTCAAATGGGTCAAATGTTCCACCATATAGACCCTAATGATGAATTCATTAAATAGAACTTATTAACCGAGAGCGAGGTCATTACAGGGCATTACATGGAAATCCCTGTAATGACCCAACGGACGAGGTTAATAAGTTATCTGTGGCCTTTTTAGCGTTATAAATAGCTACCCGTAGTTTTGAAAACCAGTTTAGCAATCATTTTGTAATATCTTTCAACTTCCCCTGTCTAATAGCTTGTTTACCGTGAGTTGCTTGCTTATGTCATTTTTTTTCTTCGTTTTGTGGTTAGGGCTTTGTGTTGATGTGGCTGTAGACAGAATTTCGCGAATTTCTACCTCCCTCATTCACTCCCTGCCTCTGTTTTTTTTTCACCCTAACCACAATTCTCTTTTCAAGACAAGTGACCAGCTAGCTTCGGTGCCTTTTAGCGGTTTACGTTTAGTTAATGGTCATCTTGACAAAAGTTTCCCGGAGAGCATCATGTAAAGCTCTGAGATGGGACAAAGTTATTACGATTCGCAGAGTCTGCGTTGTCCAATATAGTATTGTGTTCTCGTTTCATTTGGCTAAACGGATCAATCACCCTGATCCGGGCTGAGACAGAAAGGTACAATATTGTTCGCTCTTCTAAGGTGACCACTAAGTCTTTGGCCTAGGGAACAGGCTCTTAGGAGTCAAGTGAATTAGGCGAGAGCAAAATTTTCCCGGTGAACTTTAAACTAGGCAAAGACTTATGGCAAAGACCGTATGACTCTACATCCCGGATCTTGAATAAGATGAGTGTAAGAGAAAAGTCCAGAGGTGTAAATCTGCAATTAGGCTGAGTTTTTCTGAGTTATTCGATGATATTTGGCTTGTGTTATGTGTGGTTATGGATAGTCTTATCAGTGCCGCGAAAGTGTGTGATTGTGTGATTTCCGCATGGTTTTGATAGGTATCTGGTCGCGTGGCTGAGCCGTTTCGCTTAAAATATTCTGTGCCAGCCATAAAAACGTTTCTTCGGTGTTTAGGTTAGCTGATTGTACCTTGGAAAAGCAACTCTCGACTCAGGAAATTTGGATCTAGGTCTAGTTTTAGCGGGCTCTAATGGCTTTGAACCAAAAGGCCGGTTTTTGCAGATACGAAGGTGATGATTTGTGTAGTATGTTTTATTCAGTTTGTTGTCTATTCTAACTATTTCCGTTGTTATGTAAGCCTTAACCAGGCACCTTTTCGCTGCAGTTCACTCAACTTTAAAATTTCTAGACTGAAATGACACGAGTGTGAAACTTCACGGAGTCAGAGTACTGAATAAATGTTCTAAAATTTGCGTCATTTTAAATTTGGACTCGTTGAAATGCTTCTAGTAACTAGTAACTTACTGCCCGGAGTTAGATAAGGGCATTTAATCGGCTTTGAATGAAGTTTTATCGTTTTAAATGGCCAAGTAGTATAATGAGTTGATTCTTTTGCTAACCCGGTATTCAAAAATCCAGGTATTTATGACACCGGAAGTAATTCAGCCTGCGAACAATTAAAACTAATAACTGGCCATTGGATAACTTAAAAGAGCACGCCATCTCAATGAGTTGTACACTTGAGCCCGCGATATAGTCATGAGACACTGGTCAGCAGATATCCTTTTTGACAGCTGTCAGCTGATCATAACATGGATTTCCACCATCAGGTTAAACACAGATAATATATGCCGTGGACACCTTGCAAATAATTCCCGGTCATTACAAGAAAACTTTGCCAGCTTAGCAGCCAATCAGAACGCTGGTACTATTGTAGCCATATAATAATTGACATTTTGAAATCTTGTGGTGATTCTTACCATTCTTACTAGCATCCAATGAGCATTAAAATGACCAAAAGATGGTTAAAATTATTTCGTTTTCTTGTTGAGTTCGATAAAGAATTTTATTCAAAAACCATCGGAGACGATTTCTCTTAATCTGATCGAATGCTGAGAATCTGCAGCGCGAAATTCACTGACCATTGAGCATGCAAGAATGCAGATCTGAATTTGATATCCCTGCCATTATCAATACAATCTGTTTGGTCTGTGTTTGACTGGGTTTTACTATAAAATATGCCTACCTTGTGGACAAGCAATGCACTCACGGGCGCTTTTGCCAGGTGCCTTAGTGTATGGGACAAAAGTTCCATTTGGACATCTCAGGCAGCTGTCATCGACAAACGCTATAGTATCCGAATAGAAGCCTCCTATAAGAAATTGTAGTCAGAGTGAAATTGTTTTTTTGATATTCCATCTTTATAAAAAAAAATATGACCAAAATAGATCTCCAGAGCCAGCAAAAAAGTAGTTCGGGGTAAAATTGCAGGGTTTCAAAATCCTTGGTTTTTGATCCGACGTTCCTTTTTTAATTTCATGACCTAAAAATAACCTGTAATTCCCGTAATATGAGTAGTTTCTTAGGCCGTCCTTTACTATTGCATGATCTGGTCGTATTGTAATAATTTACGAATCCAATAAACGTGGCTGGCTGGATACTGCCAGAGTTCCGGTTTGGGCGTTTTTATGAATCGAGATAAACGAGAGCTTTAGCATCACGTACAGAGCAAGCGGCGAACGTCAGATTTAAGTTCAGAATTTCTCAAATTATAAAATGAGCCGATAAAAACAGTACAAGAAAATTCTTATGGATAAAAAATTGCTTGAAACTGGTAGTTTATGTGTAGAACTAATGAACGGTAAACGACAAGTGAAGGGGAAACTTGGTCACGTGGTACAAATTCGCGTTTGCCTTTTGATGAAAACGTGATGGGTCCGTGCTCTCTTCGGCCAATTTAATTTTCCATTTTTCCAACAAAAACGGAAAAAGGAAATTTACTTATCCTTATCATGTTTACATATTTTAGAGTATAAAAACAAAAATAGGAAAATCGATCATTTTTTTCATTTTTCTAATTTGACTCTCAATTCAAAAATACCACAAAAACTGTAAACGGCTAAAAGGAATCAGTGGTCGGTTCCGACAGTTCTACTTTTGACTAAAAACGAAAGTGAAAAATGCCTAAAAATCAAGGTTTTTATGTGTATTTAACACCCAAAACTAAAAAAAAAAGTTGCCCTTTTTTAACTTTCACTCACCGTTTTGAAAACCTGAGAAAAGGTCCCCCTTTTCTTATAAAAGCCGGATATTTTTAGGATTTTTCTTCGATATAAAGAGAACCAACTTTCTTGAGTAATATATATATTTCACTAAACGCAAAAAGCTGGAAAGAGAAATTTCTCGAGTTTTTTCCCGTTTTTTCAAAGTCGAAAAAAGTCGTCTTTTTTCCTTTTCCTTGTTTGGACTCTTTGGCTGGCAGCTGTCAAGGTGGAACTCAGCGGTGATTCGCAGAGCTTGACAGCTGTCAACATTTAGTTGACGCGCCTTTTTTTCCCGCCGTTTGTCAACTGGTAATGTGACTTTCAGTTTGAATTTGGCACCGACCATTATGGCGTACTTTGAAAGTAATATTAACGTGATAAGAAGTCAGATAAAAGCGAACAAAAATTAAACATACAAGGAGATCAGTAATTTATTTAAGCAAAGGGTTTCCCGAAGTTAAGGAGGCTTCTTCTGAACGAAGCGGAGATAGAAGCTGTTATTCAACAGTGTGTGAGCGAGGTATGACTCTCAGCATTCTATTTATTTCTGGATTGTAGTTATATATTACATTATTTGAGACAAATTCGTCTCTTATATCAGGTTGCAACAACTTATGGACGAAAAATGATGAGGGGCTATGTTCGCAGCAATTACACCTAATCGGAAAACAGCTAGCTATATCTAAGTCGTTGAGACGTGTGAATCCAGCGGATCATGCGAGACGGAGGGAGGACACCGTGCGTTGAAGAAATCCGGTTCCCTACAATGCACTTTACTATGGAAACAAGCTACATTGCGACCAGAATTAAAAACTACTGATGTATGGATGTACGTTGTATACACTTAGCGATGGTCGCAGTTCAAGAATCCATGCCTAAAAAACAATGCAGTCATGCAGTCAATCAGGGATCACTTTCCCCCTGTAGGTTGGTAAAACCCAGTCTCCGGCGCAGCCATTCTCTGCCTCTTAAGAGTTACAAGAGAAATTCAAATCTGCTTGCATTGACTAGTCTACGTTCAAATTCTCTGCGGATAAGAAGGGAGCAACTTATTATGGGCTAACGAACGTTCAAATCACAAACTTGTCAGTATTTGCCAGACCAAAACAAAATGCAGCTTAAATGTAAGTTTTATCTATTTATTTATTTTATTTTGTAACCGAAGTTGTTGGAATTTTTATAAAAAATTTTAAACACCTTTTTGTTGTAAATGTTATCATCTCTTTGTATATCGTTTTAACCTTGTGAAATATTTTTTTGATTTATATTTCAGCTGATCTATCTTTTGCAGTACAACAATGTAATTTACTTTAGAAACGCTTGCTCTCTGTCAATCTCTGCAGGGAGATCCTCTTCTGTGAGGGCATTTTGGATATGATCAGAGTTGACCATGGCACCAAGGCTTACCTGATGCTTTTTGTGCAGAATCTACTGAGAAACGAAAGGGGAAACCTGAGTTGCAAACCGTATATCCAGACACAGTCTGGGTAAGTAAGTAGAAAGGAGGCGTCCATCGGTGTCAAGTGTACTATAAACGCATTCCTGTAACGACATTATAAGGATTTTGTTGTGACTCATTATCACTACTATACCCCTTATTCCGTTTCCATTATCAGAATTTGCCAGCAGAACGCAAGTGGCCAGAAGTCAATCAGAGAGTCATTTACCCGATAAAATATTTTATTGTGAGGATGGAGACCAATCTGATGATAAACCTAAATGACCCTGCTGTACTACTTTGCCTTTCTTTCATTACCATGAATGTAGCTGGGATCGGACTCAAGAGGGTGCAGGAATCCTGGAATTCGCATCCGACTGAAGGTTAGACTCGCGGCATACAAGAACACATCTAGCACAAGAGCATGTTTGAATGAGAACCAACTAACTTCCTCAAACAAGACGTCAAACAATTATTTATGCCGTTGATGCATTAAACTACAATTAAAAATATATTACTGTTTGTACTACTGAGAGAGAAAGAGTTGAAAAATCCAAAGGTCTTCGAGGCGTTTTTCCTATTTGGGAAAACGCTTTTTCTCTTAAAGTAAAGCAATTCTTAACTGAGGACATTTTCTAAGAAATAATTGCTTTATGTCAGTTCTTCCAGTAAACCAATAAATACTCATCACGTATGAGTTACAGATACTTTACGGGTTCTTGACTGTCACGCGTTCTATCAGCTACTAAGATTTTTAAGTTCGAGGTCATATCTGTTTATTATTTTTAACCCTTTTCCTCTCTTTATTTTTGTTTTACAGAAAACAGCGCTCGAATTCCAGATGTAGTTGCGTAGGGGATAGAGTGCAACCAGTAACTCTATCTTTGGTTCCAAGTGTCGAGGATGCTACTCAAATGTACACTGATGCTGGAGGCACCATAACACTCAATTCTTCGTTTGGGGTGGATCCCCTGGCAAGCAGTGATGCACTCATCAATCAAAGTGAAATAGAGTTTACACAAAATAATCCCACAATCGTCGATATTTACAGCAACGAAATAAATGGAGATGGGTCCTTTATAGTCACTGCAGTCACTAGAAATTTGGTGCCTTGACTGTCATAATTCACAAACAGTCAACATTTATTTGCTACCCCGTTTAGAAGAGACGCCTTAATAGTCTCAACGCATACACGTGATAACACTAAAACTGAAATAACGTGACATCTTCAGTTCACAGTCCAAAGCCGTGCTACAACATAGGGGAAAGAACTTCAAAGTCATCGTCAGAATGATACTCTTCATTATCTGCACAACCGTACAGAATGGCATCCGGGTGTCACTACCTCCATCATCTCCAGAAGCCCTAGGGACTGACCGTCCAAAAAAAATTGGCTGTCCCACGTACAAGGGCATAATCTGCAGGGGTACGGCACAGCGGACACTTGTAAGGAGAACTGCTTGATTCAATCCATCGCTCTAAATAATTTTACACAACCAATGACAGCATAGCAAGTGGAACATGCTGCTGCTTGTAGTCTACATTGATTATGACAAATTGAGCACTTAAATATTGACGTTAGCATTTTCGCAGCTTTCTCTTCGACACTTTCTTGAGTGGAAGAACTACTACCTCTCCCTAGCAGCTGATTAGATTGCCTTGGTTCTGGTGAAGGGGTTTCTGTGAACTCCTCCTCCTCTTCGGCGTCAGAGGACACCATCTTCCTTGACTGATTCAAAATATCACCTGTTGTAGGCTTTTTCTTTTGGCCCTTGCCCCTTCTCAGGTAAAACCTTTGGCTTTTCTTGGCCACCAGTATTTCTCGATTTCCTCTTCAGAACTGAGCTCCCGTTGATCAACCTCGTTCCCAGGGTTCTCTCCTACCCGCCCTACGGAGCGAGAGAGAGAGAGAGAGACCCTGGAAAACGCTGGTCACGTGTCTCCCAGGAGCTGGGAGATTACAAACAAACGATTTGGGGGAGGGGCAGGTAAGTGTGAGATTTGTCTCTACAGAGCTTAGACAGGTCAGTTCAGCCATCAAACTGTGTACCTGACCTGATCTTGAACGCGGAAAATAAAGCACAAAGTCCTTTGACAGCGAAAGCGTAACTTCCTGCAGAATATCTGGATGTTACTTAATCGGATGTTTATCAGCGATGCTTTCATTTGGCACATGCAACGGAAATCGCGGAGGATTCACCGTAAATAACTTAGGTATCCTGGTACCGAAACGCACTAGACTTGAATTGCCGTTTATATGTTTTGGAGGCCACTTTAGAAAAAAAAATGTACTGTATCTGTATGTGTTTTCAAGACTACTATTATGCAATGCGCCGAAAAAATGTATCAAGCGTTGCTGTCCTCACCCGCGACCTCGAACTGCCTCGAAGCAACAGGAAGAGAGAATACGCGGCTTGGACACTCAGGCTGAATGTGAGCTATAGTTCAAATGGAAAGAGGTAAAGAGAATCTTAAAAGAAAACATTTTTAGCCAAGGCTCTGTGTTTTTGCAGTTTTTGTCGTCGTTTATAATTATCAGGATAGCCGTAAGCTTCTTTGTCAAAAAATACCGTATGATATGGCTTGCACAACTGCCAACCGTTTATTGTTCCT